TATAATATAACATATATAGATACAATTCTTTTATTTTTAACTCAATCAGATGAAATGATGTTGATATTGTTTTAATATCGCCGTTTTTAATTGATTCTATTACAAGTATGTTAGATTTCCAAGCAAATATAGAAAACCTTGTTTGATCACACCATAACATACAACTTTGTTTTATCACACCGTAATGAAAACGTAACAACTATTAATGTACGACAAATTTTAACAAATTATTTTGAGACGTATTACATTTTACATTGTTCCAATCGTCATACGCAATATTGAATTAAAAAGACTCAGCTTCTGTTAGATAATAATCATATTGCAATTCTACGGATTAGACTTTAATGGCGCTTTAATCTCATTCCGTTTACCTACTTATCGTCTCATAGCTATACGCATTGATAATTTTCACTCTTTCAGATTAATTTCATTAATTTTAAAGTTGACCAACTTTCGATATTCTTTCAATCGCGGCCTGTCGTGTTGAGTAAGTCATCCGATTCGAATGTAATTTTCTATTTCCACGTTACACCGTTCAATTTCACGCTATCTGTAACACGAAAGGATTCTCCCAACCGTTAATTTACGTCATGGCGCATTGTCGCACCTTGATGTAAAAAGCATTTGATATCTCGATCATTATTAGGCATTTGAATTAATTAGCGTTTAATGTTTATATGTTCGGTAAGAAAGAATTCTTGCTTACGCTCATTAATGTATAATTTATACCCAATTAAATTAACATAATTCTAGCAACTTGATAATGATTTAGGTAATAATTCAGACAGAAAAAAGTGGTGATACGAAAATTCAGCGAAAAGTTAATTAGAGCTACAGCAGCGAGGCAAATTTTGTGCATGCAACTTATAATAATTATTAGAATTAATAAAAATATTTTTTTAAATAAAGAGTATTATAAAATTAATAAAATAATATTTAACAAAAATTTTTTTAAATTTAAACATACTTTAAATCTACAATGTAATATATAAAAATATATATATGTAAATATATATGTATAGAGAAGACCGGGGATTGTTAACATAAAAGGCAAATTGGCGTTCCATTTATGTATTTATGACGAAAAAAACAATGGAAAAGTTACCGCAAAATATTCTTTTATAACATACTTTTTCTGTAAGTTTTATTTAAATCGAACAATTACAATAGAAAAATAGAAAATCTAACTCAAGAAGAGACAAGTAAGTTTCATAATTTCGTATTAAGGGGGTAAGTCAGAATAAAATCGAAAATTTTTTTTACATTTTTCGGAAAATTGATGTCTTAAAAATATACTCCTAAAAGGTTTCTATAAAATTTGAAGTATTTCTTGAGTTATGTGAGTTTTAGCGAACGGGAGTATAGTACTGAAATATGCATTTTTAAAGCGTTTTTCTCAAAATAACTTTTTTTCAACTAACGGCATCTATAACTCAAATAATTTTCGATCGATCGGCCTTAGTTTTCACAGTATTCACAAAATGAATAGTTTCAATTAAACAAAAGTTTAGGAATTTTCCTAAAGTTTAGGAATTTTTTTTTTAATTATTAGTTTTTGAAGGGCGAGATGTTTAAAGTGTTCAAAATATAGTAAAATTAAAAAAATTTTTGTTGACCGCTACCTTTTTGTAAAAAAAATTATTTTAAAAAATTGCTACGCTTAACTGAAACTATACTCATACAGATTCAAAATTTTCAAGAAATTTTCATTTCAAATAATTACAACTTAAGTTCTCTACGCCGCCAATAGATCATCGTTTTTTGAACACGGAAGTCAAGCATGCCGTGCAACATCGTCACATATTTTGACATACAAAAATTCTTAAAATGTCTGCAAAGTGTGCTAAATTGATGTACCAAACTCATATTTTATCTAAAATCTATAGTTGTTTAAAAAAAAAATGACAAAGAAAGACCTTTTTTAAGATTTTTACTCTGGCATACCCTCTTAATGTCCTTCGGCTTGAGAAGGCAATTCTAAGTGATATATTATTAGTTGAAAGCTAACTAAAAGAAAAATGTCTGTTAATATACAACACATTATTTTGAGTAACAATGTTTGTTATAATAAAATGATAAAAATCAAATGTGTGCAAAGATGGGATACGTTAGCTTATATGATAAAAAAAAGATTAGGTTGACTTGCTATATCGCACGTGTGAACATTCTATTACAACGTGATAAAACGCTTTATATTTAATATTTTTATATTAAAATAAAGTATAAAACTAAAATAATTTAAATACATATATGTATATTCTTTAGAACGACCGTACATATGAATACATCAAATATGACAGAGAATGCTATCATTTTAGTCAAAGCTAAATGTTTCGAATAATACAATATAAATTCTTTTATTAAATAAATTTATTTTAGATATGATTACGTGCCGATAACTTTCGAACTTTCAACGCAAACAGTATGAAACGCTATTAATCTCCCTAAATTCCTTCTAAATTAAATTAGAAAAACTGTAAAGATATTATTGCGAAAAATATTACCTGTTGAAAGTCCGAAAGTTATCGGCACTCAATCATATTTGAAATAAATTTATTTTATAAAAAAATTTATGTCGCATTATTCGAAACATCTAACTTTGATCAAAATGATGGCGTTTTCTGTCGTATTTAAACTAATTTATATTTGTTTTTCTTTAATGACATTTTGCTATTTGATATATTATTACAAAACTTTAAAAAATAAATTTTTTTCTAAGAAGTACATATCTACTATTTAATTTTTATTTCTATTACTTTTCTATTACGTTTTTATTAATTTAATATAAAGTTTATTACATATACAAGTAATTTACACCGTGATATATATGTTATTTACCCCATATATCAGGGCAAATTGACTATTTGCAACATGTTCGTATTCCATTTATTGTAAAGAAACTATACAGTGTACAGAATCATTACTGGTATAAACATATAAAAAAGATTCTCTCTATCATATTAGTATATTTTAATCATAATAATTAATTGAAAAAAAATCTAATACCAAAATTGTAAAAACTGTGCCAACAAGCCTCGGTCTCCTCTATTTCAAATATCGCTTTCGAGTTAGGAATCTTATATCTTCGAATTTATTGATATCTAAATAATTCGATTGTTTAGATATTTATAGTTTGCTGTACGAAACGCGAAAATTACTTCGGATAAATTTTTTGCTTACAGCGAAATTAATGACAGTCGAAATCGATTTTTCTAAGAAAAGTCTGTTTTATTTGTGTTCAGTGAAAACTTACTTTGGTAATAACTGGTAAAGAAGTTCCTCGCATTTACGTTTCTCCTCGAGATAGTCAGCCGTACGTTCTTCTACCAGCGTTTCTAAATTCGTGGCGTACTGCTCCATGCGGGATAATAAATTGTCCAGGATATTGCTGCTCTCATAGTCTCTAAAACGGAGAAAGAATACAATTCATATCTAATTTTGTATTTATAGTAATTTCGATATATGGGATGAAGAAAAATGGATTACAAAAAAAATATTCAAATCACAGTGGAATAAGATATTAAATTGGATGCGGAATCGAATATTGATAACCGGATATCAATCGCGAACAATGAGAAGAAATTCTTCAATTTAATCCGCGTCGCCAGTTACATCAATATTGTTTGATCAGACGAGAAGCTATGAGAAGCGTTTATAGATCAAATGCGTAAAGGTAGAGGATAGGATAAACCATAATCGAGACAGCCATCGCAAAGGACAATTAATCCAATCTCTGCGATTGTGGTCGGTCAGACGTAATATCCACGTCATGTAGATATGAGGGACCAATATCGAGAATTGTTTGAGATCGTAATAATCGATTCTCATGAAGGCCATAACCGAGACAATCATTTCGGTGAAGATGTTATTGAAAATCAAGTTTTTCATCGAATACGCATCTTCTTGGCAATTCATAAAAAAGTAAACGAACTGTGCACGTACATTAAAATGTTAGAATTATTTCATTTCCTTTAAATAATAAAGAAGGATATAATAGAGAGAATTATTTCAATTAATTTGAGCAGTAGAGAGAAATTTTTTTGTTTTAAATCTTGATGACGTGTCACAATGGTAGTCGTTTTACATTTTTATATGTAATATTCTTACTTATTTCGATAAGACCTACAACGCGACAAAACATTCATTTTATTAAAGGAAACGTTTCATTCCTTAGCGGGATGATAAAAATTATGCGAGAAAAGAAATAGTTGTCACAGCTTGCATTTTAAAAGTAATATCTCAACTGTGTGTGTGTGTGTGTGTGTGTGCGT